TCAAACAGACCGGCGATATACAGATCCGCGCACGAGTTTTCGGTGGAAGAATATTTTTCTCACGAAACGATATTTTACGTTTGGAGTGTGAGAACGACGGCTGAGGACGAAGTTCATATTGTTCAAACCACAGCCGCTCCTCTCGCCTATTACGAATCATCGTCCCCCAATCTGAAGGAAAGAAGTTTTAAAGTCAGCGACAGGATGAAATATAAGAAATATATTCTAAGACCTTTTCAAAACTATGTCGTTCCCCCGAAAACGCAATATCTCATCGTCACAACCCAGAAGAGTCTCTTTCTCGTCGATCGGTGCTCGTACTCGCTTTGGAAACAATTGAAAGAGGAGATTTCTTTCCAATCGCCGATGATGTTTCAAGAAAAAGAAGAAGAAAACCCTCCGCCACCTTTACCCATCCCTTCCTTAGATGATAAGAGGAGCTGGACCAAACCGTCGTCATGGCCCGAAACAAAATCGACCCGGCAACGGAATGAAATTGAAGTCATCACAATTGAAGATGAGGAGGAAGAAAAAAAATTACCTCTTAAAAAACGGTCGACTTACCGGAACCTACCTGGCGTGCAAGATCCGCTTCAGAATCCAGAAGCTTCTTCTTCTTCTTCTTCTTCTTCCCCGACTTGTTCAAACAGGCAACCTCTTTCGGACTCCTCACAGACAGAACCTCTTCCAGTATCTTCTTCTTCTCCTCCAACCTGTCCCGACATCGTAGAGGTAGAATGTCAGACGGGTCCACAAGCTTCAAAAAGTCCCGACATCGTAGAGGTAGAATGTCAGCCGGGTCCACAAGTTCCAACAGGTCCAGAAATCATGGAGGCAGAATCACAGCCGGGTTCACAAGTTCCAACGGGTCCAGAAATCATGGAGGTAGAATTTCAGCCGGGTAAACAAGTTCCAACGGGTCCAGAAATCATGGAGGTAGAATCGCAGCCGGGTCCAGACATCCTAGATCCCTCCACTCATCCCAAAGAGACTCCAAGTGTTTCAAGACAGCCTTGTGAGGATCCAGCCCTTCCCGTATGGAATGATTATATGGACTTACAAAATTTGGTGCAACAGGAAGGAGAAGAAAATAATCATACGGATGGGTGGGTCAAAGACTGTTTAGATCATTTAACCTCGAATGAAATTGAACTGTTATGGAATTGCATTTCTGAAATCACATCGGAAATGGGATAAAAACCAAAACAAAAAAAAACAATTTTTTTAATAACAAATTGGAGGAGGGTCATGATGTCAATTTAAAAAAATATTATATAGAGTCCAATCTTGGTGGTTCACTTCAGTTTTCCAGCATGAGGTGATCCACGTTTCCCGAAATATGGATCCCATTCCAAGAGAGATTGTGTAGAGCCTTCACTTCAGTTCTTTTTTTTTCCTACCAAGAGGAGAGGGTCCCCAAAGGGTTACCCATGTCCAAAGAGAGAAAGTGTAGAGCGTTCATTTCAGTTTTTTTTCCAAGTTTAGGGGAGGGAGGTCTCAAAATGACACCCCCCCATTTTCAAAGAGAGATGGTGTAGAGCGTTCATTTCTGTTTTTTTTCCAAAGTTAGGGAGTTTTCAAATGGCTACCCATTTCAGAGAAAGAGAGAGAGAGAGAGAGAAGGTGTAGAGCGTTCATTTCAGTTTTCCAACATTAGAAGGTCCCAAAATACCTTCTGAATTCAAAGAGAGATCGTGTAGAGCGTTCATTTCCAGTTCTCCAAGATCAGAAGAAGAGGGTCCGCTTTTCCCAAAAGGGCTTTCCGCATTCAGAGACAGCGAAATGCAGACTTCAGTTTTCTCCCTCCCCAAGAATAGAGGGTCCCAAAATGGCTTCCCATTTCAAAGAGAGAGGGAGAGGCGTTCATTTCCATTCTCCAAGATAGGGTCGTCTGCTTTTTTCCCAAAATGGCTTCCCAATTCAAAGAGAGAGAGAGAGAGTAAAAGGGTGTGTAGAGCGGTCATGTTCATTCTCCAAGATAGGGTCGTCAGCTTTTTCTCAAAATGGCATCTCCCCATTCAAAAAGAGATCGTAACCAATTTTTTCCAGTTTTTTTTCCAAGATGGGGGGGAGAAGAAAACCTAGGATGGAATAACACGACACACAGAGAGAAAGAGAAAAAAAAACGCCATCTTGTCATTTTCTGATAGGGTACCGGTGTTCGAATACTTTTGTGACCGACTGTACTTTACAGCTTTGCTCGTTGTTTCAGCGTGTTTGTCGTAGTTCTTCGACGAGTGCAAACGTGTCTTTGGAACTGTCCTGTGTAATAGTGCTTTGACAAATAAATTGTGTTTTGATTCTTCATCAAGTGTTATATTACTTACTCTAAATCACAAAATCGTAAAACGCAACATTATTAAGTTGTTCGAAAAATTCCCATTTATAATTTTCCTATTCTTTGACTTATATGAAAGCGCTGTCAACTTCTTCAGTGGTTTTGAAGCCATCTCTAAATACAATAAGGAGAGTCTCTTGCGTAGCAGGATGATTCTGATACGTGTGGTTCTTGCTTTTAATCCAAGATGTAATTGCAAGATACTGACAGGACATTCATATTTCATAGTACTCAAGTTTTGCACAAGTAGGCTATTTAAAGGAAACATCTCTTCTTAGTTGAATAATTCTTGAATATAAACCTTCCTGTTCACCATGCAACTGAAGCAGAATTTATCTTTCTAAACTTATAGCTGCATTTGTGGTATTTATTCGATATGCTTTACAAAGTTTAAGGAAAAAGGACGTTAGAACAGTAATAAATTTTTCGTTTTCCGTTTTCTTGTAAGTTGTGCCCGTATATCTGCTGCATAAAGTATGATTTCTATCGATTACTCTGATACCCAAATTTTTTTAATATACGGATTTTGGACCCAGTTATTTCCTTGGAAGTGATGCATTTTACGGGCTATTGCATTTTTTTATTATTATTCTAAGAGCTTGTATGTGAGGAAACCCAATGCGTTTTAGATCACACGTAACACAAAGATACTTTATCTGTTTAATAGTTTTAATATTTTTATTAAGCAATTTGATGCAAAGACGTTTTGATGGATTGGTACAGGGCCTTGTAATTATTGTTACTGCTGACTTGACTGATAACTGTAATTTTAAGTTTTGACACAGGGGAGGAAATTTTTAGCTTGCTGTAGTTTCGCGGTTTTTTAGCTCTTTCCCGCTATGCCCTTTAACAAGGATGGCAACGTTTGCTTTTAGAATGAGTTAAAAGTTACAAAAGGCATGTATCTCTGGTATTTTTAATGACGCTAATTACTTCATTCTTAACGCCTTCTTAAGAATATTTTTTTTAAATTTACAGCTTTAATTATAACATATTCATTATTACTATTATTATAAACAGTGTTTCCTTCCCGGTATGTGTTGATTAAAATATGGAACTTACGAACAGGTATGGTAAACATTTTGAAATAGCTATCACATAAACAGCTATTTCAAAATATTTACCGTAGGCTTGGTTTGGTTTATTTGATTACGATAAAGCACTCAAGAGCTATCTGTCTAAGAAATGCCTTCGTGGAAGACTTTCTAAGGCAAAATGGCTCGTATAAACGTTTCATATGAGGAAAACCACGAAAATGCGCATGAAGACAGCCCGTTCGCGGATTTCGACCATCAGACCGAATTACCAGTATTTAGCGATTTTACTGCTCGACCGCTGGTAGCGCTTTGCTTTAGGAACTGCTATTATGCATTTATATACTGCTTGAAGGCAATAGTAAAGTGTATATCCTCAAAAGTGAGTAATCCAGATTCTCCGTAACTGAGCCTTGGTGGCAATAATTGTTTTATGAGCTGGAATTATCAATTCATGCGAATTTGTTATGCCTTTACATTACAAACTATATAAAACTGCTCCAAATTTAAATTTTAGCTTTTAATTTATTCGATATGCTTTACAAAGTTTAAGGAAAAAGGACGTTAGAACACTAATAAATATTTCGTTTTCCGTTTTCTTGTAAGTTGTGCCCGTATATCTGCTGCATAAAGTATGATTTCTATCGATTACTCTGATACACAAATTTTTTTAATATACGGATTTTGGACCCAGTTATTTCCTTGGAAGTGATGCATTTTACGGGCTATTGCATTTATTATTATTATTATTCTAAGAGCTTGTATGTGAGGAAACCCCATGCGTATATCACACGTAACACAAAGATACTTTATCTGTTTAACAGTTTTAATATTTTTATTAAGCAATTTGATGCAAAGACGTTTTGATAGATTGGTACATGGTCTTGTAATTATTGTTACTGCTGACTTGACTGACATCTCTAATTTTAAGTTTTGACACAGGGGAGGAAATTTTTAGCTTGCTGTAGTTTCGCGGTTTTTTAGCTCTTTCCCGGCTATGCCCTTTAACAAGGATGGCAACGTTTGCTTTTAGAATGAGTTAAAAGTTAAATTCCATAAGAGAAGGCCCGCACAGAATCCCCTTGGACAACCTCTTTTCTGAGTTTTCTTTGAAATAGCCTTAAGGTGAGTTATTAAGGTTAGAGCTGACAACATTATTTCTGTGAAGATGAATCTATTCATTACTAACTTTAGGCCGATTTTTCAACGTGCATATAGAAGGCAAATTAGAGATCGTAAATCTTTCGGGTTTTTTTCTTTTTAATAAAAAACACAACATTTCCGATTTTAAAGGATTTTGTAAAATACTGATGTTTTATGAGATGGTTAAAATATTGATGAAAGAGTTAAAAGCATCATTTGTAAGCAGTTTTTAAGATTGGATAGTCTAAGCTGTCAGGCTCCGCAGAGAGCTACATACAAACAAGAAAACACAGCAATCTTCTTATAAATCTATTAAGAAAAGATATGTATCCTCTGTTACAAGCAATGGCAGATTTCCAAATTCCAGTTCGAATAAGGCTCCTATATACTTTAAGGTCGAATGTCGAAGTTCGAATCTTCTATTGCCTTTCCTTCTCAGCTAAGCTTTATTTTTCGCTTTTGGGCAGAATGACTTAGCGGATGCAAAACAAGACATCTGTCCATTTCGTCTGTCTGTCCTAACATAAACAAAGCATCGCGCTTTATTTTGAAGATGTTATTTTAATAGTAATGAAAGGTGCCGCATGTAAAAGTATTTCAGGTCAGTAATTATTTTATTTTCCCTTTTTCAAACATTGTAGAAAAAGAGTTTTCATCCGCAGAGAACCAATTGGCGCCGTTGCATTTTTACTCGCACGATGAGCCGAGCCGTAAACGTGATTTTTAGTGCAAGTAAATTGAAGTTAGCAGGCAAAACAATATATTAAGCACATGGTAGTAAAAATTTACAGATAATACGCATGTAGATGTAAAACTAACCGGTTAAACATGATATACGAAAATAAATTTGTATTAAATTCAAGTTAGCACAGAAGCATTTATAACAGAAATAAAAAATCATTTAAAAAACATAAATTAGTATTAATATACTGAAATTAACTGGTTAAACGTGATATACGAAAAAAATTTGTCTTAAATTACAGTTAACTCAGAAAACAATATACTATTTCTTACACCAGCAGTGGTTTGCTAAGTTTGATGACTATGGCGATGCATCAAACTATTCTGTCATCTTATATAATCAGTAATATTTCTTGTTTCAATTTAATCATCTATTTATGTCACACCTGGCATCCTCTGAAAGGTTATTGTTAGAAAAGCATTAACAATATATTATCTTGTTAAAATTTTATGCCTTAAAAATTGATTTATTCTCATAATTTTAGATGACAATAATAAAATCATTACTTAAATATTTAAAATGCACATGCACATTTTTGCGGCCTACGAAAACAAATTATTTTAGAGGTTGGAAACCTCATGGTTCTTAGAGCTGTTAATAATTAAGAACACAATATGAACAGCCGTGTTACAAATTAGCATTCACACTTCCCGCCGTATTTTCTTCCTTTCATCCCGAACCAAGAACCGGCATCTATCTACGAAAATATTTCTATCTATTCGTTGTTAAAAAATGCAGAAAAATAATAAATAAGAGAAGAATAATATAAATTTGCAAATGCAAACAACGACAGTGATATTTCAACAAAATTTGAACGCAAGAGGAATAGTTGCAAACTTCGAACAAGCGAATGGGACAAATACTCTGGGTTACCAGGTTTGAACTATTATCGCCAACGTTGGCGATGTTTACATTTACCGGGTTCTCTGCGGAAGTGCTTCCTAGAAAAAGGTAGTGGACTTTGAAGAATGTATTATGAGTATTATGAGTCATTTCTGCTAGTAAGTTGCTTTAATGAATTTTGTTGTGTTTTTTTCATTTATCATTATTGATTTATGAGGTTTGTATTCTGTAATGCTGTAGATTACTAAGCATTTATTATCTGTTCCTTATAAATATATATCAAGAAATATTTTATATAGATATTTGTGCGTTAGCTATTTATCAATGTTCAAACCTTTTTTTGGTACTATTCGGTTTCGATGGCAGTAAAAAATCGCCAAACTATTGTTGATGCCAATGCTGCCATAATAATTGCGGCAAGAAAGGAAGTATAATAGTAAATAACTATCTAAGATTGATGTTTTAATTTAGATGAAATGTTAATTTCATATAATACTTTTTTATTATTATAATTTATATGAAAAAGGCTAAACATAACTGAATGGATGCCTGCATCGCTATTTTGCTACCGACTTATCGCTAAAGCATAATTTCATCTCGTTGGTTGTTCAAACGTAATTTTCTTTGAAAATATTCAGAATCGGAATTCAGAAGTGCAGAATCGCTCACTTATTTGCTTGCCGCTTTTTACAAGGGTAAAAACAATTGGATTTTTGTCAATTTTATTTTATTTTTTAAATGAAAATAGGTCGATGTGTACATAGATAAAATCAAGGGGGTGCGCAGTGCCATTTTTGTGCAATTCTGGGATTTTTGGAACTACTCTGATATGCACCCTTAAGTCGCCAAATATTTTTGGCAAGAAACTTCACGCTGCCATATTACTATGTAAATTTTTTGTCTACATTTCGAACTTTAAGCCTAAAATGTCTCCAGAAACACGGTTTTCACACATGCAAAAACTATGTTTTGAACACACGATTTAAGCTAAAAATCCGAAACAAAAACAAAAAATTTAGATAGCAAAAACATAAAGTTTCTAACCAAAAATATTTGACAACAATCCATGTACACAGCAACATGTTTTAACTTAAAAAAAGATCTACGAATGGCACACTGTAGGCAATAAACGAATCTACGAACTACGCACACCTCGCTTTAATAAATTAACATAACAACAATAAATTTCAAAGAATACCATGTACACAGCATTCTGTTTCAACTTTAAAAAACATGTACGAATTGCACAATCTACACTAAAAACAAATCAAGAAAATAAACTAAAATAAGTTTCAGACAATTCAAAAAACAACAATAAAAACAGAAATTCATACAAAAAACAATGAATATTACATTCTACAAAATAAAAACAATAAAATAAGATGCACTTACCATAATGAAAGCTTCTTTTAAAAGCAGAAAAAACATTCCCCCCCCCCCCCCCCTCTCTTCTCGATACAGAGCATACAAAGTCCAAAATACATTCGTTAATAAAATTTCGCCAAGTCACACAACGTTTGTGAAGAAAACTTCCACGATTTTGCTATATCACATGTCCTTCTATGATTCAAAATTTTCGAAAGTAACAATAAAAACTTCCTCCAAACGTTAACTTGCTACACGAAAACCAAGATCCAAACCTTCAAACTCCGCTGACACCCACATACTTTATTAGCAACAATTTTACTGCAAACCCACACAAGTCTATCAGAAACACCATTTTTTTGTCCGAGTTCTCATATCAGCTCCGCATTTCGGACACGTCAAAAACTCCGTTTTAAAAGTCCCGACTCCCACAGAAATTCCAAAATACACTATTGATCCCCATAAATACATCCGTGAACAAAAGACTCGGTAACAACTCCAACATTGTACCTTTTCATACTAAATTTACTCTGCACACAATCTAAAATACGCGGCTGAAACCTTCCCACCACATCTTTTATCGCAACATAGGCCATTTCAAAAACACACGCAGCACGAACCAACTAGCAATTAAACTACTCCACCAAAAGATTTTTCAACGTCGACATGGTTGCCATATAGCACGCAATTGCGACAAAAACCAGTGCAAAACACATATCGCCACATTTGGTGAAATTAGGGCGTTTATCAGAGTTGTACCGGATTTTGTTTTTTAAGTGAAAATAGGTCTATGTGCACATGGATACCGAGTATGTGCAATTCTTAAAAACGCGTCAAGCAGTGAGTGATTCTGCACTTTACCCAAAATTTTATTGCTGACTTTTCATCATTGGCAATTAATTCCCAAATTGTTAAATCCATAGGATATCAAAAAAAGGATTTAAAAATTAAACTAGTATTTCAATGGCGTCTTAAGAAATATAGAACTATATAAACTTCTGAAATCAGCGCATATGCTAGATTTGGCGCTTTTGCGCATACATTTTTGCTGCAATTTTTTACAGCCATCGAAACAGAAGAATACTCTTTTTTTTTATTTATGACCAGAACCTGTATACTTAGTTGTCCTTTCAACCTATTTTTTTTTCATCTTTTGTAAATGCAATCTTTTTTTAAAATATTATTTTACTAAACTTTCATATGCAAACTATACATGCAATTGGTAAAAATATATTTCAGGGTGCCCCTTGGCGAAAACTGGCGATTGGCAAGTAAGGCACAATTTCAAGATAGCCGCTACACAAAAACAAAATAACTAGTCAGAGAATTGCACAAACTTGGCATTTCGCTCTCTCTTGTCTTTGTCCATGTACACATCGATCTATTTTCACTTTAAAAATAATCAGGAGAATGATGACATCATATAATGGCAAAACAAAGTTACTCATCACCACAATTGAACAAAATTTGCAGCCAATTGAAGCTCATTAAACTGCATTTTAAATCATGCAATGAAATAACATAAAAAAGAAAATACATGGTATCAGATACATGCACTATAGAAAGGAAGTATCTGCTTGCCATATTTAGAAATTTCTTCACATTTTTCACTTCAAAAAACAACAGAGAATTGTACAAAACTTGGCATTGTGCACTCCCTTGACTTCGTCCACTTGCACATCGATGTATTTTCACTTAAGAAGGTAAAAGGAGCAGCCACAAAAAATATATAATCTCAATAAACTACATTTTAAATCAAATAACATAAAAAAGGAAATTCATCTTACCATTACGCAAAGGAAATATCCGTTTACCTTATTTAGAAATTTTTCTGTCTTCAGTCAAACAAAATTTCTTAACAGAATTTAAAACTTCCTAAAATTATCTGAACTAGAATCTGTATCCTGGCATTGCCATGTAAATTCACAAAGATATAAGATTCAAAAATATCCTCCATAGTGTCGGTATCTTCTTATGTTCGACCACACGCATTTCCTTCCTTCACATAGGACACTTATAATGGCTACTAAGTAAACCTTCGTTTACACACCAGTCAATGAATGCTGTTTTCCCCCCTTTTGTTCTAAATCGGGCAGAATCTTCAAATTAATCTTACCAAATTCAGTTTTTTTACCGTCTAAACCCCAAAACAAGCAACGAACTTCCTAACCAACACACACCACAAGACCTTACAAATCTTTTCCCATCATTCAAATTCACTGCAATCGTGTAACCAATTACATCATACAGTCAAAAGTCTTTAATCCTGACTCGTCAGGACTTTGGCGATTCCGGATTATAGATCATCAGTTTAAATCTGGTAAGATGGCATGCAGAAATTATAAAATTAAAAATATGAAACCGTAATTTATGAAATAAAGAGCAATTATGATCTAAAGGGTATCAAAATTTACAAAGAAAAAAGCTTAATATTTATTTGTTTACTTTATTAAACATTTCTTTCAACGTGTGCATGCGTAAAGCATACATTATGTATAGTCGAAATTAGAAAATTGCAACCAGAAAACTATTTGATGTGTATTTGTGATATTTATGATGATGAGGAAATTGATTTAAATTATATCGAAGTACATCGAGATGAAACACTACATTTAGTGAGGAATTATAAGCCAAATAAAATAAAAAACATCTGCCCTGAAGATAAGGATAGTGCTGACAGATCAACTTCCAGTTCATTGTGCGTCGCAACGTTCCCCCCCCCTTCCGCAGAGCAGCGTGAAATTGATAAACAGATTTCGGAATGGTTAGAGAAACAAATAACCTCACTGTCACTTTCTTCATGCCTTTATCCATTTTTTGCAGCAGTTCCACTTTTTGTTTAATGGACATTGAAACATGCTTTTGCTTTGCAGATCCTTTGGCAGCTCCAGCATCGAAAATTCTGTTTGACATAATCGAAAGTTCAAGCTTACTTTTATAAAAGCTCTAACAGTCTGCAAAAAATAATAAGCCGGATCCAATTCGAAGATTATGGAACAACACAATCTGCAACATTAACTGAAATAGATAATTAGATAATTTTAGCTTAGCTTATACCGTCTGTTATGCATTAAACGCGCATGCATAGACATATTATGCGCATGCACACGCGTAAAAGTATTTTGTGCATGCGTAGATGCCTATGCGCATGCGTGAACGCACTATACGCTGACGCTTATGCACTGAATTATATGCATTATACGCTGAATTTTGCTTTGCAGATCCTTTGGCAGCTCCAGCATCAAAAATTCTGTTTGACATAATTGAAAGTTCAAGCTTACTTTTATAAAATTGCTCTAACAGTCTGCAAAAAATAATAAGCCGGATCCAATTCGAAGATTATGGAACAACGCAATCTGCAACATTAACTGAAATAGATAATTAGATAATTTTAGCTTAGCTTATACCATCTGTTATACATTAAACGCGCATGCATAAACGTATTATGCGCATGCACACGCGTAAAAGTATTTTGCGCATGCATAGACGCATTATGCGCTTACGCATGCGCAGAAAGTTTGTAGCTTTGAGGTCCAGATTATAGATCATTCTGGATTATGGGTGTCCGGATTAACGACTTTTGACTGTAATAGGGTTTCCATAACATTCAACTACTCAGGTTACCATAAATAAAATAACAATTTGGTGATAATCCAAAGGGCACCCTAAAGTATGGACTAACCATGTAATTTTTGTGTGCATTTACATGCAATATATAATACATTACATATAATACATTTTGCCTTGGGAAAACGAAATTGATTCATAAATGGAAAATAATAGATTTTGCATCCTTATGATTTCGATTTTGGCAATGCTTTGTTTCCTCACCTGTCGAAATTATTCCAGATTGCCTGCTAATAATGAAGAGCAGTAAATGATTTAAAGTACAATAGTAACCAGTGAACTAGCTTGCAGAAATCTTTCAGAAATACTCTCTATTTAGATATATATGTCTGCACCACTGATTACAAGTAATTTACTATATTGACCTTTACCTCTGCCTTTTCAGATGTAGCATCTAGGTTGCCTATAATGTTCTGTGTTGATAGAAAAGAGACTTAAGATCAAATCATAGTTAATTACAAAATCTTCCTTTTGGGTACTACATCCTTTTCGTGCAGAAAATACAGAAATAGCTTTCACTATGTGTATTCTGCATGATAGAAAAGACCAATTTAGGCATATTTTTAACAATTAAAGAACTTCTGGTATTGTAATCTATTCTGGTGAAAGGTTAACTTCAAAGGTTGTAATTGTAATATAGATGAAATATGAACTCAAAAAGGGACAATATCTTGTTTGTATATCAAAAGCTATTCAAAATATATTGAAAGTTGGAATCTTTTGTGCATGAAGGGATGAAAAAGGCTGTATAATTTTTTATATCTGTTAATGAATTTGTCTTTAGTTTTAAAATTTGTTAACTGTCATGAAATTCTAATCTCTTCTGTAAGGCATTGCTGGAGCATTTTATTGTGTGTAATATTAGCTGTATGCTGAATTTCTTGTCCTGCTAGTGGATATCAAATGACTGCATAAGTTTTCATAATTTTCTCCATGTGCAATATAAGTGCCAACCATGTTTCTTCATAAAATGCTCTACAAAGATATTCCTGCCATGATGAAATAGCCCTTCAACATTTCACTGGGAAATGTAACTAAATAATAAATCATATATTGTAACTGATCTTAAAATTTTAATGATTATATATAGTAACCGTGTAACATGTATTTCATGAAAATATTCTCTATACTAAAGCCTGGCAACCTTTTTTTCAGCATGTCTTACCCATTGAAGTATAATGTTTCAATCTCGAATAATGTGTTTCTCCAAAAGAAAATTATCTGCTTTTATATTTCATGAAATTGGCATAAAAAATACATTACTGAATTCAAATCAGTTCTTAAAAATGAAAAGTGAGTAGAAAATATTAATTATTTTTTGATGTATGCATTTCTTTGTTTTGTTATTTTATAACAACAGTTTAAGTAGTAAACTAAAACAAATAATACATTATTATGGCTGAAAATATGTGTAAGATCATTTCTTTAGTCATCTTATTATTTCTCTGTTGTTCTGTATTAACTTAAAAAACTCATATTTTATCTAGTTGAAGCACGAAACTTGTATTAAGTGACATTTCTTGTTTGAATTTTCTTTTATAACAATCTGTTTTTGTTAGATTTCCTTAACAAATGAATATTTCTGCTTAAATATTATGCTTCTTAAAATTACATTACTGTGCAATTATAATAAAAATTATGAATGTGGATCTGGTCTGCATTATAAAATTCTAATTTATAGCTGTTATTGTAGGTGCATAGCTTCATAATAGATTAAATGAGCACAGAATCAATGACAGCTTGATAAAATTTATTTTTCCAAAACACTTTACTGTTCTGGAACTTTACACAAAAGTACTTGTACAGCTCTTGTTAGTATCATAAAGTTGTTCACTTCAATCAGTAGTTACACTTCAAACTGCAAAAAACTTTAAACACAATGTAGTGCAAAGCCCTTCTAAAAGGCAAAGCTAACATAGAGATCTCTCAGTACTCCAAACTCTACTCTAAGCTAAACAGTTAAGAATCGATGCGCTCTCCGGTCTTATAAATTTTTCCCTGGCCACTAAGAAATTTCTAGTACCTTCCATTTCTAGAGATTAGGTTAAAGGCCAGATACAGTTACACATAGGGATCAGGTACAGGGGCCGGACACAAATGTCACCAAGTACCGTGACAAAAATTAGTCACCAAAACATCGCCAGCTTAACACTATCTCACGAATTTGTCAAGACAGCTCTTAACCTCAGTGTTACATGTAACCTTATTTTCCCCAAGAAGCTTCACTCTTAAAGCTCACCTTTTGTGTTACATTATACAAAAGGTACTACAATTTTAAATATTATTTGACTAAAATTACTATTTACATATATACAAAATTGGTAACATTGCCTCATTTCCAACGACTTCACATCCCTGGTGGTGTAATCCCTGGACAGGAAGTAATACTTAAAACTGAGAAAAATCAGTTCAGTACTAAAGCAGTAATTTTAATAAATAACACACAATAAATCAAATACTAAATCAATAAATAAATGCATGAGTTTACAAATTTATATGCAAATAAGACCATGGTCTTAGTAAACTACACTCTGTCACAAAAAATATATATGCACCCAGAAGGAAACAAGTTATTATCACGAAACTTAGCATGTATGTAGTGTATGAGGAGGTTAAAAAATGATTACAAATTCAGAAAAAAAGATTGTTTTATTAAGAAGTTATGGCATGAAAGTGTTACAAATCAGTAAGTAGTATAGCCAGCTCTGGCAGCTATACAAGCTGAAACATGGCATGGCATCTAATCAAATAAGTTATTACCTATGAACCCCTGCAGAAGGTCCTGCCATAATTTTTGCAACAGGGCAGTTAATTCAGCAATATTCCATGATGGCTGCAGTTGCTTTCCAAGCATGTACCAAATGTGCTTTTGGCAAGAGGTCTAGTCACCTGGCAGGCCACAGGAGTATGTAATATCTTTGAAAACATTCCTGGGAGAGTTATGCGCTATGTAGATGAGCTTTGTCTTGCTGATAAATGGAACCTGAGCAACTTGATAGCATAGGCAGTACAACTGGCATTGAAATGTCATTAAAAACTTAACTGTCATTAAACTGGCATTAAAAGGCAGTACAACTGCAAGCCGTCTAAATGCCTTGAAGTACGACTAGAAGTGATCGTGTGTCTCAATAAACTGCTCCCCACTCTGTCACACCTTGTGTAATCACCATATGCCACTCGACAACAAATGCCAGATCAAATTGCTGGCCTGGCTGCCTCCATACGCATGTACATTTGTCATCAGCACCGAGACTGAATCGAGATTCATCGCTGAAGATTACATGCCTTCGGTCACTCTCCAACTTGCCCAAATTTGGCAAAAATCCCATCAATACTGCCTAGATGTGGGATCAGTAATGTACATCTTAATGGATATCAACAGCATATACCAGCATCAGCCAGTCATCTCTGAATGGTTTCCCTTAATACCACCAGATGCCTGCAAGGTGGTAAATGGCATTGAATCGATGAAACATTGTTGGTGCAGAAGTGGCTGCTTTTATGATTACACAATCCTCATGCTCATTTGTATTCCTGGGATGCTCTGATCCTCTGCGATAGTAGACTGTCCCTTTCGTGATCCATTGTCGCCAACACCGAGGAACTACCATATCGCTCCGACCCAAGTGGCCGTTGATATGCCTGTTTGACCAATGCCTAGTATTTAAAATTATTGATTATTTACCTGGGCACATCTCTTATTTATAATTCCTATATGTTTTAAACAATGGTATTGACAGTAAAATTTTCTTTTATGTACACATATACTGCTTCTAAATATGAATGACTTAGAGCTGATTGAAAACAATTGTCACTATGCTATGTTTATATATAAATTAGTTTTATTATAAAAATCATCTGGAATTTTGATTAATATTAATATTTTTCTTTCACAGGAAGTTTGCATTTTTGTCCTGCTCATCTATGCAGCTCCATACCATCTACAATTGCAGGAAATAAGTAAGTTATGCTCTTAAGTAAACATGATAATACATTTATGTGTTTTAAAATATGACAGCAATTTAGTACCTAATTCAGGAAATAATTTTTTTAAGTAAAAAGCAGATTTGATATGAATTTTCTAGCTATTAAAATGAATATTTTAAACATTGTAGAATATAATGTGCCTTCTGTTTTATATTTGGAATATGTATTAGTGTATTCAAATGGGACAAAACTGTAATACCCAATGGTTAGAAGATAGTACTTCTAAAATGTTTTCATTACTTGATGTTTGTGTTTTATTTCATTTCACCCATATTTCAATTTTTAAGTTATATCTAATTACTACTGTGAATTTGCATAAATATGGAGTGTGAAATTTATAGTATAGGTATATAGTATAGGTTTTATAGTTATGTACCGTTATTATATAACATTATAAATATATTCAATAATTTAATTTAGACATATGAGGTTGCTTAGACTTCCAGTTTTAACCTGAGAGCACTTTAAAAGAGAAGTGTCTCAAGTGTCTTGTATTCCTCTTTCCCTACTACCAACTTTTTAAGAGAATTTTTGAATCAACAGATTGTAAGATCTCTTGGCACTATTTGTAACATATATCTATACCTCATATTTGATTTAAACTAGGATTAATACTGTGCAAGTCAGCCTTTTCTATCCACTGCAAGGAATAGCAATATAAAATAAAGTATACAGTATCTAATTTATATGTTATATTAAGAGCCCCATATTACAATGTAGAAAACCTAATCTGCATAGCATGTGCAAAATTTTACTTGCATATTTTTCCAAATTGGCAAGTATAATATTCTGTGTTCTATAAATTTCAGATTCTGACTGTTGCATAGTGTAGGTGAATGAGTAGTGCTTATTATTTTATCTCTCTATATACTGTATTTGCCGGTGTATAAGATGCACTTTAAAAAAAAAAAAAAAAAAGGTCTGAAAAACGTGGTGCGTCTTATATGTCGATACACAATGTTTGATTACATTCATTTCTGGAAATTTCCTCTGTTCTAACTTGTCAGCTTCAATCTTTAGATATCAGCATAAATAAGCCATTTAAGGAATTGAATGAATTTCTAAAGGAGAATTGGAACAGCCGGTTGCAGTCTTCAGATTTTGAAGTTAACCACCAGGAAGAAGGAAGAGGCAAGAAGGAACATTTTGCAAGTTTGTGAATGCGTCAAAGCTTCATGGGATGCTGTGAAAACAGATCCAGTGATTAAATCATTTAAGAATTTGTATTGCACTGGATGGTACAGGGAACAATTTGTTGTATGAAGGCTCAGATGCTAATTTAGAAGAGGTTTCAAGTGACTCTTCATTTAGCTCTGGAGATAAGTGTCTGGATTTTTTTGAAGAAGCTTAAAAGGGCATTCTTTCCCAGATAGATTGTGTATTTGCAGAAAAATAATGCTTTCATTTGTATTACTTTATATTTAAAATACTGTAAATTCATTATAATGATTAGTAACAAAGTTTTATCATTCAAAAATGTATATGAAAAAGGGGATGTGTCTTATACGATGGCAAATACGGTAATTACAAATTTTCACCTGATCTAATATTTAGTTAAATGTTTAAAGTCATTGAATACATCAGTTGTCAGGTGAATGGACTTGCAGTTGTTAACCCTTATGGCTTTCTGCGTATTATAATACCAAATACAGGTTAATATTTTTTTAAAAGTACTTTCACTAAGGTGCACTTTGTGAGACGCGTCTTTTTTCTATTACTTCATCATCCTAGCCTTACAATATAAATAATTTTAAGAAAACAAAAAATCTTTCTAATTATAAATTTCAATGCCAGTTGTTACAGTTGATAATTATTACTACAGTGATGAACTGTAGTTTAGATTCCTGGTAAAACATGGATATTTATGACTATAGTGACTTTGTAAGATGGAGCACTGATATGTTAAGCCAGTCCTGCTCAGAGATTAGCAGCAGAGAAAGAGGGGTATGAGTCTTGACACACAGTCCTTTGGGTGCTGTAGATTGAAATTATAATGGAATCTTTATATGCTCTGCTGTAATTAAATAATTGTTTCGAAGTCTAATTTGCAAATTTCATCAGAAGCCTCCAATTTACTATTTAGATCATGAGGGATTCTAGTGGAAGTTGTAATCATTAATCTTGTCTGTTATATCAAGACTAAAATGTAGTACAGTATAAAGTCTGAAATCCGGAATGATCTAAAATTCGGACCTCAAAACCACCAACAATGTTTTTCTCATAGGCTGTAAAGTATGCACATTTGATTCCCCTTCCCTCCATGCATAATAAAACATCTTGAGAGCCCGTTTCTTAACTTCACTTCGACACTAAATAAACTACCTTGTTATTGAAGAAGCAATCATTTTAGCATAAATTTGTACGATCAGTAATTTGCCTCAGTTGTTGCGTATCTGCTTTGACACACATCTCGAACTGAAACATTCCACATAGATACATCGTTGATCTGACAGCAACCTGGCAAATCATTATTATACTTTCCTTTCATCACTACATATTTATCAACCAATGACAACTTGAGTAATGACTCATGTAGTGATGCCTAAACAATTTTTTTATGTTAGTAATTGAATAACAAAAGAGTATGGTAACCTTTTATGTTAACATTACACTTACCGATGATTACAGATTTAAGTTAAATGCGCTAAAAAATGTTGACGAGGAAACATTTAACAAAAATTTCTTTCTATATGCTAAAAAAGATTTTGTTGATGATAGTCATAGACCCAAAGATTATATTTAGGGCTGTTTGAATTAAGAATACCTGATTTGTTATTCACATAAACCCAGAACCAGCGCCAGGGCTCATAAGGCAGCACCGAGTCGCAGAATTTAGACTGCATCAAGTGGTAAAATATCTAGCCCCTCCGCTCAATAAGGCTTAAATATATGTGGGAATTTGTTTATTCAGAACTCTGATAAGCCTTAAGCATGTGCAAGAAATAGACATAAGTATAATAAATAACTAAACTAATACAATTCAAGCTTAATTGTCTCGGTGCACGATGGAAGCTAGGTAAAATTTAATGCAACAACTTGTCGTTAGTCGCCAAGCTCATGATGCATAGTCATATATGTATAGTAAATGATAGCTAAATTTGATGATGATAGCCACAAATTTTAAAAGTTTTCGGATATCGCAAAACAAAGGTGAAATTTTCCAATTAACGGATTTTGTAAAGAAACGTGGAGAAGCATTAATAAATGAAGAAGATAAAAAAGAAGTTTTTCATTGTGATGATAATGCTTCTCAATCATCAATCAATTAATGAATGATGAAATCTATAGTATGGTTCTAGATCCAGAAAATACTGCTACCAATAGTGAAGAAAGTGACAGAGAAGTTACTGGAAACGAAAAAAATTTCAATTGACAAGTGAGTCAGAATTCTCGATACAGCAGTTACAATACTTCAACAATGTAAATGAACAAATGATTATGTCTGTCTACAGAATTAATGAGGTATTAGCACAATAAGCGAAGCAACTTAAACAACTTATATTGAAAGAAATGTTTAATAAGGTAAACAAGTAAATATTAAGCTTTTTTTTTTTTTTTTTTTTTTTTTTTTTTTTGTAAATTTTGATACCCTTTAGATCATAAATACTTCATTATTTCATAAATCACAATTTCATATTGTTAATTTTATAACTTCTACATGCCATCTTACTAGATTTAAACTGATGATCTATTATCCGGGAAAATTCCAAATCCAGAAGTCCCGACGAGTCCGGATTTCAGACTTTGTACTGTATATACTTTGAAATGCACTCGTACACATGTGTGTGTGCACTTAGGCTTCTAAAGGTATGAAAATATAATTATTTAAAATAATTATCATACTTTTAAACTAAAAAAAAATTTGAAATACCAGAAAATGATTTGTTAAATAATTTTAAGGTATGGCATTAACTAACATCAGTATATATCGATATATACTGGAAGTTGTTTTATTTTAATGTTTCATATTTGTCTATAGCAAGCCTTCTTTTCCTTATAGATTATTTTGTGATACTTCTCAAGCTTGTTTAGCAGAAAATCATCCCTTGTACAGACTATATCCTTCTGTAGATCAAGCTTTTTTCTTTGGTGATTTATCAGAATCTGATTTAAGTTTAATTTCTGAGAGATTTGCATTAAAGGTATTCAGTTTTTATTTGCAATTTTTCCTTCATTATATAACCGTATTTGTATAAGAATTTTTTAATAAGAAGTATTTTAGTGATACTCACATGTGATACTAACTACTAAAATGTGAAAATCTGTTAATTTAGAGTCTTACAGTATTACATTGTTTGAAAAAGAATGCTTATTTACCAGTATTCTTCTCTTAACACTTATTGAAATTATAACAATTGGATTATTTGAGCATTTACTAATTTGAAGGCTAAAATTTTGATATACTTTGGCTACATCCTGTTTTACTTATTTTTTTTTTTTTTTTTATTTTTTATTTTTGTTTATCTTTTAGGGTTTGAATATTCAGTATTTTCATAAATACAATATCAAGATTTCATCTGATATGAAAACTGTGTTATTTCCATTTGATTCTTTAAGCAGAGAATTTTCAGCTATTCAGTCCATATCTTATAAAAATGATGATGAGGGAAAAAGAGTTGTATCTGATATTACCCCCAAGTAAGTAGTAAACATCTAAACTTATAGATTTTAAGAAATGATTTCACTTCATTTTTCTTTATTTTTAAATGGGTAAAAGTATATTTTAGGGTACCCCTTGGTGAAACTTGGCGGTACATGGATACCGAATTTGTGCAAGTCTTTGACTTGTTATTTTGGCTTGCATAGCAGCGCGCCAAAAATCGCCGCTATGCAAAGCTAAAATAACAAGACAAAGAATTGCGCAAACTCAGTATCCATGTACACATCGACCTATTTCCACTTTAAAAAAAATCCCAGAATTGCACAAAAATGGCATTGTGCACTCTCTTGACTTTATACATATACACATCGACCTATTTTCACTTCAAAAAACATCGGAGAATTGCACAAACCTGGCATTGCATATTCGCTTGACTTATTCCATGTAAGAATCGATACATGCCATAACCAAAATCATTTGTGCCAAGGTTGTGGTCTCTGCTAGGATGCAACCAAAACACCAAATTTAGTATGTGCCCAATACTTCACTTTAACCAGTCTTGCTATCTCAGAAGCAAATCACTGCAGTAACTGCTATTGAGCATAAGCATTTAAAGAAACATATCTCAAAACAGTGTAAAGATAACTGCACAAACAAATTATTCAGTAGGGAGCTTCTAGTATAAATCCCTTTATGTTGCAGATGAGTGAAGATTACAACTGAGTAAAGAACTTACAAGATAAAATGCTGATCAACCATTATTCTAATTTTCAGATCAGGCCGTGCTCAGATTTAGAGATCACAGGCAAAAGCTCACAAATCAGACTATTTCAACTTACGGTAGAGAAAGGTGAAGATTATAGCACATTTGTTACGTTTCACACAATTTTGATATAAATTACATTTCAAAGAAGCATACTGTTGATGAGTTATGTGGAACTTAGTCTGTTTCAAGAAGATGCAGCCGCTGGCCTCTAATGGTATTTTTCGGACTAATGAACATTGCAGGTATAAATGCTTTTATTTATTATTCATCAATCAAATAACGACTAAGTGAATATGAACCGAAGAGCTTTTCTAAAAGATTTAGCATTAGAGCTTGGGCTGTAATTCTATCTCTCTCAAAAGAGCTCAAAACTTAAGTTGGCAGGATTAGAAGATGCAGCGAACTTTTACCCTAAGAAATTTTTGTAAAAATATGTTGTTACACTATGTGAGGATTGTTCAAAACAAGATTATTTGAATAATTAAACACAGGATGGGTGAGGGAGAAAACCTATGTGTTATTTATATTTTTTAATATTCATATTTAGAATCTATTCTTTGATATGAATAATTGTATAACATTATATTAAGTTTTAAGGAAAAAAGCTAGTAAGAGGGCAGCCTTTTCATATTCGTCTAGTGCTTTATCAAACCACTCTTTATAATAAACACTTATGTTTAAAAGTATATGAAAACTGATTTTTCTAATATAAGAAATCATATATGTATCTTTTATAAGTTAGTAATTTTGCATAAATTTCGATTTTTATGGTTTACTTTAGGTAACCAGTATGGAAATGTTTGTATAACTTAAAGTAAGATTGTCTCAAATTAAAAATGGAAAAAAGGTTTAACAGAATTCACAAAGCTACTAGTCATTTATATCTTCATTTAAAACAAAGAAAATGCATTTATTTATATGTTGGGGGGATGAACTCCAAAAAACAAACACTGGGGTAAAATTTCTCCCATGCGTGTATTAACGTAGCACAGTGATACGAGTGTGCTGAAATGTTAAGGAAGATTTACAACTGAATATAAATAAAGCAGTTGAAGTTCGAAAGACAAAATTTCATCTGCGTCTGATGCTCAGATTTTAGATGTATATAAACAAATGTTATATATAAAGAAATCTTAATGAAATGAAATAAGTGTTAAAAAAGGAATGATTTTTATGGAAGAGGCAAGAAAAGTCTATATGGCAAATTAAATTTAAAGTGTAATATTTCAGTGTCTGAAATATATGACTAAAAGTGCATAAAACTTTGCAAAGTACTTTGCAAAGTTTTATGCACTTTTAGTTAATTTTCTACTGTTCTGAAACTATGTTTCCTTTCTTAACATCAACAGTTTCACTGTTTTGAGTTTGAATCACTTTTCTGGTCTTTAAACTCTGTTTCAAGGAAATACTTTTTTATTGTTTCTCTTGTGATATTTCTTCAAGTGAAGTTGTTATCTATGGTATCTAGAATATTAATAGCAAAAAGGAATTTACTTTTCTCATTAGCATCTATGTTTGAAAGTTTTTACCTTGATCAAGAGGTTGTAATTTTGTTGTCATTTAATACAATATCATAGTAAAATTTTTCTCTGTCACTATAATAGATGCCGCTTAATGATCTTAGCTAATGTTAGCATTTGGATATTGTTAGCAGATAGCCGAAGTCCTGTTCGTTTATATATGAAAAATACTTTACTTATTATGTTTGAACAGTTCAATTAATATAAACAAAATATTAAAGAATAGATTTTTTAAACTGGAAGCTAGTCAACAAATAAGGTCAAAACAGATTATAGTCGCAGAGAAATGCCACCAAGTAAGAGTGATCACTCAGATCACTCCAAAACCAATGACTTTGGATATTTTGCGTTTTAGAATCTACAAAAACAGAGAATCAACTCCATTGGTGTAAGGTGGTGATTCTTAAAATTCTTCTTCAGTGAATTATGAATTATGAATAAATGAATAAAATAAAAATGGAATTATGAATAAATGATTCAGGCATATAGAAATTATTAGTAGCATTGTATATATTAGTATATATATTAGATTTGGCAATTATTTTTTATATTTATTTATTTATGTGGTAAAGAAATGCAAATATTTTTAGTGCTGTTCTTTGAAAATATTTAACCCATCACACTTAAGGGCTGACTAACTTTTCACTTAATGAGTAGTGAAATTACTTTTCAAGTACAAAGATCCAAATATATTTAGCATTTAATTACTAAAAATCTTTCTTTATGAATGAAGTACTTTTACATCATATCATTTAATTTATCAATTTTCTGCTATAAATGTGAGAATCAAAATAAGTAGCAAAAGGGAATAATGTTTTTTATTGTACTTATTAATAAATTTTAATTCACTTCACATGTAACTGGCATTTCATTACTAACTAAGAAAAAACTTATCTTCACAGTAGTTGGTCAAGTTTAAAAAACTTATCTTCTTTCACAGTAGTTGGTCAAGTTTAAAAAACTTATCTTTCTTCATGTAGTGCATGGATAAAGAATTCTGTAAATGGTGCAATAGCAGGCAGTTCTTGATATAAAAGCAGTTATAAAATTTTTAATGAGAGTTATATGCAAACAGAAATGCTCTGTTGATATAGCAAAAAAAATTGGAACTGGAAATTGCTGAAAGAATTTGATTTTCAGTCAAATAGCTTAACCTTTTCTCTACGCATCCCACGATTTCCATGGGCAACGTAAAAGTAGCAAAATTTGCGCAACCCGCGATTTCTGCAGGGATGAATTTTTGTCATCTATTTAACTGTGCAGCCCGCTCTTTTCCCGTCCAAGGTTTCCTTTGGGCTTTTCTGTGATGTTTAATTGTTTATTTAGATGTGGGCTAACAGATTTCATTAGTTGTCCCCATTTCTGCTAAATATACAAGAATACGCAATGTAGCATTTTGTGCACGCTTTGAAAACAGAGCTCAAAGATATGTGGCAGGCAGCATTTCGCGAGTGATATAACCTATATTCCTGATGATATTTCCAACACTGATAGTAGTTCTGACTCTGATTTCAAGTATATTGAAGATAGTTATACCGAAACTAATGAGAATTTTCGGATTCCTCTGCAGATAATGATGAATCTGAAAATTCATTCCTATTGAAAACGTTCGACAGTAGTACAAAATTGATATGCAAAATAATACATTATGCAAATATTTTCATTAGTATATGTTTTTACTTTTGTATTTTATAAAATAAATCATAATTTAACCAATATTAATTTTAAAATTTCCTTTTATATTATTATTTTCAATTTTCAGTATTGCGACATCATTTTTCTATGATCTAATTCTATATTGAAAAAAAAAAAACTGTTTCACAAAAAATTTTTGTATATTTTAACTCTAAAATATATGTAGATTTGAAATATGTAAATAAAAAAATACGCAATTTTTGAAGCTATTTTGATAAAAATAGTGGGCAGTGAGAGGGTTAATGTTACAAGAGGGGAAGAGACTTCTGAGAAAGGATTTAATTAGCAAATGGTAATATAAATCTTTAATGAGTAAAATATTAGTATAACAGCTGCGTTATCTTAGTTGTTTTTAAATAAGTGTTAGAAAGAGTAAGTCTGGTTCTCAAAACTTGAATATTTTAAGGTAAATTTTATGTTATCCTTTTTATATACTTAATCATATAATACCTGTACTTTAATTTAAAATTACAGTATGTGGCTTAGTAAGTCTAAGAAAATATATTAAGAAAGTTTTGCTTTTGCAGTTTAGCTTTTCGACTGAATAATATCCAAACTGGCAAAAATACATGAACAAGGTTTTATATATGTGTGTGTAACTTGAAAGAATAATGGCTGTTAAAGAATGTAATAAAATACTTATTTTGAGAAACATGACTTCACCCAGGAAAATGCGTTCTAGCAGCATCTAATTGATCACTTGATGTCTTCTTACAAATGAAGTAATCAGACGCCATGAAGATAATTCTCCTAGAAGTATCTATCTGAAGGATCCTCTTCAGGTATAGAAAAATGTTATAGCTGTATCTACATTCTTGTGCTTGTTGAATGTTATATCATTGTGTTTGTTGAATGCTTGGTTTTCGTGCATTATATATTTTTAAATAAATCTTTCACGTAATAGAAAAGAATAACATGAAATTTAATGAATGGATATCTTCAGGAGGATAAGCAAATCTTTGCTAAAACTTATTGAATCCAATCACTGGAGTTGAATTAAGTAGTTTTGGTATTCATAGTCTTGGTGTGTTATCTGATTCTGTCTTTATATATATAT